ACACACACACACACACACACACACACACATAAATACACACACATCCAAGGATTCCCAATATTTTGTAGTATTTTCGGGGTTTTCGTCTACCCCCCCGCTTCCCGTATCTTCCCATATTTTCAAAGGAATCGGCGATTAATTGTGTCTTGTGTGTTTTTTTCCCTTCCTGAGACAGCCACGCACCACGTCGAAAGGGCTCCTAGCCGCCCCGAGACCATCCAAAGACTGCCCTGTCCCTCGGGCTCCCGAAGGCTCTGAGATCTTCCAAAGATGCGCCAAGAGGCCTCCAAGAGCGCTCAAAGAGGCTACCACCGAGGCCCCCACATGTAAAAACAATGCAACACCCAAATTATATACATGCTAGTTGCTTCCAGAGATTTCCCGCATAAGATCGCCTCGGGAAAAGCCTCAGAGAGACCCAAGAGGACCCCCAACTGGCCCGACACTGCCCAGGCGAGCACCCAGACGGCCCCAAGGCGGCCCGAGAGCCCCCCAAGAAGGCCTAAGCGAGCTGCAAGACGGCCCCAAGACCCGCCCAAACGTCCCCTATATGGGCGATTTCGGAAACCCTGAATCCCAAACCGTTTTCATCTCTTGGGGGGCACATCTTTTACTTCCGCCGCCTTCCGCCGAGCTTCCGCCGGCTTCCGCTGGCGAAGGCAGCTTCGTTTTACTTCCGCCGCCTCCCGCCGAGGAAGAGATGTCAATTCCTTCGTCGTCGAAGACAAGGCCCTTTGTGATGCGCCTCATATGGTCGGGCCGAGGCTCTTCGGGAGAGCTCAGCGGAACCATCGCTCCCAAAACGGCCCTTGAGACCCCCGACTGGCCTGCAACCGGGACCTCAGGGCTCCCAAGAGGCTCCCAAGAGGGGGAGGAGGAACGAATGATGAGGATGAAGGCAGAGAAGGAGGCTGAGGAGTAGGAAATGGCGTTCAGGACTCGAGTCAGTTCAAAAAGAGCGCTGACCATGAGCGGGTCTTGAACTCAACCTCCTTCCTGTTGCGCTGCTGCGCTGGAACGGTAGCGGGGTCTGCCGCAGGCAGGTGGATAGAACACAAAAAGAAGATAGGAGACTCAAACGCAGGCACTGACCCATCTGGGTGCGAAGGATAGGTCCGAAAGCATTGCTCAGCAAGTTCGGAGAGCTCCCCCAGGCACAAAAAATAGCTGCGCTTGGGAGAAATTCCCTTGGGACAACAGTCCGCCAGTCGCCTGGCGCGCGCGCGAAATACACTACAGGGCGTTTTGCCGAGCATAATAACGAACTACAACACATGGCTAAGCTGCCATGAACAAAAAACAGGACCAGTGCCGAGACGAGAGCTGGGGTGAGCGATGGGACGGGACAGGGGGAAGATAAAGACAGATAGAGAGAGAGAGAGAGAAGGAGAGAGTGATATCAGTATCTATGTTTACATACATATATAACATTGAGAGGTCTATCGGTATATATATATATATACACACATATATATAGAGAGGGAGAGAGAGAGATCACGAGAGAGAGAGAGAGAGAGAGAGAAAGAGAGAGAGAGAGAGAACAACATAAGAGAGAGGGAGAGGCATAGAAAGAGAGAGAGGTACCACCCGAGCCTATGCGAAGAGCTCAGTAGTCTCATTGCGAATGGGATCCGCCGTCGCCGCCATCGGAGAGCCTTCTCTGTCCCTGCAGCCCGCGTCGGCCAGGGCGCACCCGTAGCAGGCGGGGCACTGCTTCAGGGCCTCGATGTAGGCCGCCTTGCACTGCCCCGCCCCGTGCAGCCGGTAGAGCCAGTCGTTGGCCAGCCACTGGATGAGGTCCCTGCAGGACGCGGCGACCTCCCCTCCGGGCACGTCGAGCTCGCACGTCTTCTGGCAGCCCGCGCCGGGACCCGCGTCGCTGTCGCTCGCGGGCGCCGCAGCCGGCCGCTGGGGCTCCTCAGAAGGAGCCAGCACGCCAGGTGTTGCCAGAAATGCCCCTGGCCCTAGGTACCTCCAGCTTTCCGCTCCATTTTGGAGCCCCCAGGGCCCTCTGGGCCTCGTGAGGGGTGCCCTGGAGGCCGTCTGGGCCACCCCGAGAATCCTGGGGGTACCTTGGGCCAGGGGTACTTCTAGCAACACCCGAGCATGCATCGATACCGCTGCTCCCCAGACCTGGGCTTCAGAGGAGAACCTCCTCCAGGAACGCGGGGCCCTCCGCCGGCGAAAGCGCTCAGAGCAGCCGAGGGTGTCCTCCCCCAGGGATGCACAGGAGCATCCGACATGCACGAGGAGCATCAGGGTACCCTCCCCGAACCGACCTCGACGTTCAATCTTCGGGGGACGCGCAAACGTGGAGTAGCGATCCATGGATTTGGCGCGCGGCCGCCAAATCCGTGTATCTGGGGAGGTGCCCTCCCCAAAATGCGGCCGGTGCCGCCTCGCTCGGCGGCGGAAACCCGTGATTTCCCATGGAAACGGGACCCGTCGCCAATCCACGCCCCGAGGAGGAGGAGGAGGAGGAGGAGGAGGAGGAGGAGGAGGAGGAGGAGGAGGAGGAGGAGGAGGAGGAGGAGGAGGAGGAGGAGGTTTGCGATCGCCGGATCGACGTTCGATCCCGGTCTGGCCGTGCTCCCCCCGGACCTCATCCCCCGGGTGCCTCCTGACGCCAGCACCCTTTCCTCCGCTGAGCTCCTCCTTGGCGGCCGCCGCCGGCGGCTGCTGGGGCTCTTCCTTGGCAGAGGAGAGCTCAGAACCGAACCACTGCTGTGGGGAGACCAGAACAGTGACAATACAATATCGCTGATAGGGGGAGACCAGAACATTGACAATACCGCTGCTCCCCGGACCTCTCCCCGGGAGCGTTCTGACCAGGATTTCGAGGCGGATCCAGCAGTGGCGACGAGGGAGGCCCGGGAGGCCCGAAAGGGGGGAAAACGAGGAGAGGGTAGAGGTACGGGTATACCTTTTCCTCCTCTGATGGTGGGTGTGCACGTAAGAGTGGCCCTAAGCCAGAGCGACCTTTGGCGCGCGACTTCCAGGGGCCGCGGGGAGGCCGAACCCGAGCGCACACGCCGCTGCTATCGCACCGGACTCAGCCATCGGGGGGCCCGGGTGTGCCCGCACGACAGGTCACTCCGGCGCAGGGCCACTCTTACGTGTAGCCGAGCCAGGTCGGATCGGCGACCGAAACGAATCGGATCGGCGGAGATCGGCAGCCAAGTCCATGGAGGTCGGGTCGACGGACATCGGCAGGCTGGGAAAGGCCTCCGTCGCCGTGGAGGACATCGGCATCCACATCGGAGCCCAAGGTCGAATCAAACCCAGAGGATCGAAGCCCTGGCTTGGACCCCGACGCGCCGTCTCTTCGCTGCCGAAGCTCGGCCCCCTCCGTCCGCGACCGAAATCTCGCATGCCCCGTGGCCCGCTGCCCAAAGTTTCTGGCCGCGGATGATCTGGGGGCCTCTTCGAACGGAGCCCCGCCTTGGCCGCCGCAGCCGTGTCTGAAGGGGCCCTGGGAAACACAAACAAACAGACACAAATATCAGGATTCCCATTTGTTTTGCCATATTTTCTGGGCTTCTGTCTTCCCCCCCACTCCCCATATCTTCCCATATTTCCCTGGGAGTCGACGATTCATTGTGTCTGTGTGTCTTTTCCCTTCCTGATGGGGTCGGAGTAGATGGGGCCGGAGGATCGATGCATCGGCGATGCATCGGCGATGCACCAGCGACGCATCGTCTATGTCGGCGATGCATCGGCGACGTCGATGTGAAGCAACTCGGGCCCCGCATCGAGCCGCATCCCCGATGCAGCGGCGCTGCGGCGCGATCCTCCGACCCCGTCTGCTCGGACCCCACCTGGGAGGCCCAGACGAACGGAGCCCCGCCTTGGCCGCCGCAGCCATGTCGGCCCCGGCCCGCGGCGCCAGCTTCTCCACGTGCTCGCCGTGCGCCGGCGGGGTCGCGCCCGCGCGCGGGCCGGCAGCCTGGGAGCAGGTGGAGGGAGGGAGGAGGAGGAGGAGGAGGAGGAGGGAGGGAGGGAGGAGGGAGGAGGAGGAGGAGGAGAAGGAGGAGGAGCAAGGAGGAGGGAGAAGGAGAAGGAGGGGAGAGGAGGGAGGAGGAGGAGGAGGAGGAGGAGGAGGAGGAGGAGGAGGAGAGGAGGAGGAGGAGGGGAGGAGGAGGAGGAGGAGGATGAGGAGGAGGAGGAGGAGGAGTAGGAGGAGGAGGAGGATGCAGGAGGAGGAAGGAGGGAGGAGGAGGAGGAGGAGAGGAGGAGGAGGAGGAGGAGGAGGGGGAGGAAGGAGGATGAGGAGGAGGAGGGGGAGGAGGAGGAGGAGGATATAGGAGGAGGAGAGGAGGAGGAGGAGGAGTAGGAGATGAGGAGGGGGAGAGGAGGTCGGCCTCGCCCTGGCGGCGCGCGCCTCGGCCCGCTTCGCTCGACCTTCTGGCCCGGAGCTGGCTTCCTGGCGGCCTCGGGAGCGGAGGCCCTGGGTTAGGAAGCAGACCCTTATTCCTCCTCCTCCTCCTCCTCCTCCTCTCCTCCTCTCCTCCTCCTCCTCCTCCTCTCCTCTGGGAGGTCTTCGTCAGAAAGGTTAAGGAGGATTCAGCCCCATTGCGGGGCTGTTGCGCCAGAAAGGGCCTCGGGTTAAGCGGGATTGAGCCGGACTGCGCGGGATTGAGCCGAATCAAGCGGGATTGAGCCGGAGCAAGCCGGACTTCGGACCAGGGCAGAATCAGAATTTAGCCTCCCAGGAGTTGCATCCGAACCCGGGGCAACCATTGTCGCGCGTCGCGCTCCGAGGAGCGCGGTGGCCTTCGCGCTCTCGCGCCGCCGCTCCTCCTCCTCCTCCTCCCTCTCTCCTCCTCCTCCTCCTCCTCCTCCTCCTCCTCCTCCTCCTCCTCCTCCTGCTCCTCCTCCCCCTCCTCCTCCTACCCAAGAACAGGATGAGGGACTCGCGGCCCGCTCTGAAATCGCCCAGGCCGCAAAACGCGAAGCGCGACGAGCTTCGCACCAGCGGCTCGCCATCGCTCGGACGTTCGTTTCCCGTGCATTTTTCGGCATCGTGCGCGTATTTTTTCGCAAGATGATCCCAAATGCTCCACGATGGCCTTCGCCGGGAAAAATACACACACGTCCGACCAGTGCCAAGACGAAGAACGGCACCCAGACACGCTCGCTTCGTGAAATCAGGGCGTGAGGGTTTGGGCAATTTTCGGCCTCTGGGGGCCTCTGGTTTGGGCTGCTGTTGGCCTCCGGGGGAAAGGGTTAGGGGAACGAAGAACGGCACGCGGCTGGCGTTGGAAAGGTAGTAGAGGAGAGAACACAACATTCATGAACTTAACCTTTCGGAAGTCCGCGCAGATTTCTTGGATCTGCGCTGGAGGCCCCTCCCTGGCGCGCGTAGCGCGCCAAGGGCGGCGCTGGAGGCGCCGCCGGGGGGCCTAGCGCAGATCCAAGAAATCCGCGCGGAGCTGCGAAAGTTTATGCTTGTGCAATTTTTTCCTCTTCTGGGAACGAACCCAGAGACGCCCTCGAGTCACGACAAAAATCACGACGGAAGATACCAGGGCCAGGGCCGCGCCTGCCGACTCGCCCGAGTTCGCACAGCCATTTTCGGCCTCTGGTGGAGGCCCTTGCCGGGCCTCGGGGCCCTCAAGGAACGACTGGGGAGGAGAAGCCGGCCCCGAGGAACGGGTCGAGACCTCCGGGGGCCGACGCCGTCAACGAGTCATGGCGCCGGTGGCCTGGGAAGAGCGGCGCGCGGTCGGCGTTGGAAACATGGGCAGGCGATGGAGCGCCGCCGGCCTGCCTAGAGGGCAGTGATTCATGCACAGGATATTTAAACATATAATACTTTTAATACAGGATTAATTTATGAATAAATGTATGCATGAACTCATCGTTGTTTTTAATACTAAATCCCTGCACTCCGCACGCGGAGCATGTATTGGCGGCGCGCGCAAGGGGGTGGGGGGAGGGGGGAGCGCTTCTTAGAAGCAGCCGCTCTAGAAGGCGCCGGCCTTACATCTATAGATAAGGCCCGCGCCTTCTAAGAAGCAGGGGTGCTTCTAAGAAGCCCTCCCCCCTCCCCCCCACCCCCCACCCCCCTCTGCGCGTGGCTGAATGTATTAAAAACGGCACTGTATATAACGCGCTCCCCCCCCCACCTTGGGGGCATCGTGCACCGAAGAGGCCCGGCGACGGGCACCGCCCGCCTCGCAGGGGTGGCGTGCCTTTCGGAGGCCGATGCTGCACGCCATCTTTCCAGAGCCAGCCGTAAGCTGAAGTCGGGCGTGTCCCCCCTACAGGGGGATTTTCGAGGAACAATAAAGAATACTCAAAACAACCCCCCCAAGTATTCGAAAATAATCAAAAATGGTCCCCAGACTATTTTCTGACTATTTTTGAGTATGCCCCCTGCACAGGGACAGGCCCGACTCAACCGCAAGCGTCGATGTTCGGAGCTCCGCGCGGATGCCTCCGATCGGCACTGTGGCCCCCCCTGGCGGCGCTTTTTCGGCGCCTCCGCGCGCTAGGGAAGGGCCTCCAGCGCAGATCCAAGAAATCCGCGCGGACCTCCGAAAGTTTAAGTTCATGAATGGTGTGTTCTCCCCTCTACTACCTTTCCAACGCCAGCGGCGTGCCGCTCTTCGTTCCCCCAACCCGTTCCCCCGGAGGCCGACAGCAGCCCAAACCAGAGGCCCCCAGAGGTCGAAAATCCCACCAGCCCTTTAGGGCGTCGGTGGTTTAACGAGTTTCCTCTTCCACCCCTCCTACTTCCCCTTCGGGGAGGGGTTTACCCCTCCCCCTACCCCCTCCCCGCTGACCTGGACAGGAGGGGCGGGGAGCGGTCAGAGCGTCCAAAACGGCCTCGCCGAGGAAGCCAAAATCATTGATTTTACTAAGGTTTTGGCCCCATTTTGGTCTTCTCAGGGGGTAAGGCTCCCCTCCATTTTGGCCTTCTGAGGGGGCAGCGCTAATCAAAGCTCTCCTCTTCTTTGAAGCCAAAATCATTGATTTTACTAAGGTTTTGGCCCCATTTTGCCCTTCTGAGGGGGCAGCGCTAATCAAAGCTCCCCTCTTCTTTGATCGATTTCCTCCAAGATGGCCCCAAGAAGCGCCCAGGAGGCACCAAGAGGCCCCAAGATGGCCCCAAGATGGCCCCAAGAAGCCCCAGGAGGCCCCCAAGAGGATCCCAAACGGCCCAAAGAGGCCCCCCCGAGGCACCCAAGACGCCGACAAGCCCCTCAGGACGACCCTCTACTCGCCTGGGCGTCGTTTCTGGACGGGCTGGTGGGGATACGCGAAGCGTCTAGAATTGCCCAAACCCTGGCGCCCTTAGTTTTGTTCACGAAGCGAGCGTGTCTGGGTGCCGTTCTTCGTCTCGGCATCGCTCTGACGTGTGCATTTTGTCGGCAGAGCTCCGAACGCTTCTGCTTATACGACTTGTTCCTCTTCGATGCCTTGGCAGAGGCGTTGCGCTTGCGCTCCTCCTCGGTCCGGGCCGCCGCCTTCCAGCTGGGCAGGTCCGGGAGGAAGTCGCCCTCGCCCCCCTTGTGGATCTTCACCTGCCTGCGGGTGAAACCCCCGTGGGAGATCATCTCGACCGTGATCTCGGACTTGGTCAGCGTGATGTCCACGAACCCGTACTGATCGTCGTCGCCCCGCGCATCGGGCTGGCCCGTCGAGGTGATACCACCTCCTCCACCAGACACGACCCAAGCCGTCGGTGCCAGGAAGTTCGCGGTATTGTTGTAATAGACCTGCTGGCTGTGCTCGTGGCCGGTGACGATGAGATCGATGCCGAAATTGTCAGATAATCGCTTCCAATCTTCGACGCCATGCCCGGGCGGGTAGTGCGTCACCAGTATCTTCCAATCGGCTTCAGATTGGGGCAACACCTGTTCCAGCCACTGCATCTGATCCGTCCAGAGCTTCCGGAACCAACGAGGGCACTCCTCCAAGTCCTCGGGGCCCTCAGCGCCACAGCTGGCGTTCTTGTCGTTGTGCTTGTGGTCGCAGATGTTGTGGTTCGAGCCATAGCCGCCCTCGTGAGCGCCGAAGCTGTTCGAGTCGACGAAGTAATAGTCGACGTTGAACTGAACCTGCAGGCCCTGCTCGTCGGTGTACGGATACCAGACTTTTACGCTGTAGTACTGGGCTGGCATTACCCACCGATCCTGGCTGCCAGGCAGGTCCTTCCGAGGAGGAGCAATCCACGTAAACAGAAATCATCGGAGCTCCGCGCCGATTTCTTGAATCGGCGCTGGGGCTCTCCACTCTGGCGCGCGCCCGCACCGGAGACGCCGCCATGGGGGCCACAGCGCCGATCCGAGAAATCCGCGCGGAGCTCCGAAAGTCTAGGCTCGTGCGGTCTTTTCTTCTCCGATCCTTGCCCCAGGTGTAGCCTATCAGCTGGTCCCAAGCGCTGTCGAACTTCCAGCCTCCGTAGTCGTGGTTTCCCAGGACGCCGAGCCACTGCCGGCCGTCGATGCCGTCGCCCCAGTAGACCTTCTCGAACACGTTGACCCACTGTGAGTTCTCCACGTGCTCCGTTGGGGGAGTGCCGCACTTAGTGTCAAGGCCGCCCCAGTAGAAGCTGTCTCCGACGTTGATCACGAAATCAGGACGGCTGACGGGAGCCCGGGTCCTCATCGCATCCGCCACGCGCATCTGCGCGTTGTTGTCGATGCCAGCCATGAAATGGCGGTTGTGCTCCTTCGAGGGGGCCCAAGGAGGCACAACTACACGGACACACGTTCCAGAATTCCCGAGATCATCTCTAGGCATATTTTCTGGAGTTTCGTCTTCCCACCTCCACTTCCCACATGTCCCCATTTTTCCATAGGAATCCACGTGTATTGGTGTCTGTGTCCATCTTTCCTTCCCGCTCCTTCGTCGGGCCCCGGTCGTCCGCAGGCATCGGCGGGCCGCCGGACTCCGACTCGAGGCCGCCCCAGTCGCCGATGACGAAGACGTGATGCTCGCCCGATCCTCGGGGGAATCCGCAGACCCTTCGGCGCGCGGAAGACGCTGTTATCATCATCGTCGTCGTCGTCGTCGTCAGTCCCGAGGAAACTGAGGAGCAAGGAAATTACAACCAAAACATCTCGGTCAATCTCCCGGACGTTCCTTTAAAAGCGCCTCGGCCAACGTCGGTTGATGGCGCTGGAGGGGCGAACGTGCTTAAGAGACTGGGGCAGCTCTCCAGCAAGTCGGCTAAGAAACGCTGGCCCAGCTTTTCGGGCCGGGCGAAAGGGGGGGATAGCAAAAGGGGGGTTTGAGAATCAGCTCGCGTAGCTGATTTTCCCGGCGCCTCCCGGCGCCGGAGGCGGCTATGTATCGAGGAATGGGCCCCTCGGTGGGGCCGAAACCAGCTGCATGCAGCAGATTTCGTAACCCCCCCTTTCCCTATCCCCCCCATTTCGTTCGGCCCAAGCTTAAGAGACTGGGGCAGCTCTCTAGCAAGTTGGCGAAGAAACGCTGGCCCAGCTTTGCGGGAGGAGGCTTCTGAATCAGATGCTCGGCTGCAATGAACGTCGCAGTCAAGTTTCAGTCGGGCGTGTGCCCCTACGGGCGGATTTTGGGCGACAATTCAAACAAAAATGCCGAACCGAAGACATGAAACCGATATCAACAAATCGTCCCCAGACACTTCTTTTTTTGTGACCATCTTCGGATACTCCTCCTCCTGTAGCGGGACAGGCCCGACTTAAAAAATCAGGTCGACGGGAAGCCTATTCGGTCCCTCTGACCCCTTCCCTGCTGGCGTCGGGGTGGGTGGGGGCGCCCTGGGTCGGAATGCCGACCCGCCGGGGTCCTGGGGGGCCCCGGGGGGGGTCGCCAGCGGGGGTCCCGGGGGAGGTCCCGTCTTCAGGGTCGGAGGCACCGCCGGCAAGGCCTTCGCAAGAAGAGCCTGTGCGAACATGTTGAGTTTGGAGCTCTGAGAGGTTATGCTTAGCTGCTTGTGCCATGTTTTGCTCCTCGATCAAGAGGGCCACGAGGCACCCCGCAGGCCCTTCCCTGGGTGTTTTTTTTGACCAAGGAGGTTCGAAAAGCAAAGCCAGCCGTGGCCACGAAGGCTTCCCAGAAGGCCCTGAGGAGCCGAAAAAACTATGCAGAGGTGGCGTCTCGGTGCTCGGAGGCGGCCGCGGCATCTGAGCTGGATGGACCTCGAAGAATCTGTTAGGATTAAGTCGGGCGTGTCCCCCTGCAGGGGGATTTTCGACGGAAAAAAAAAAATACCCCCCAAATGGTCCAAAACATATTCCACAAACAGTCTGAGCATTTTTTTGTTGTTGTTGTTGTTGTTGTTGTTGTTGTTGTTGTTGTTGTTGTTGTTGTTGTTGTTGTTGTTGTTGATATTTTTGACTTTTTGGGGAATATGTTTGGGGTATTTTTTATTTTTCGTCGAAAATCCCCTTGTAGGGGGGCACGCCCGACATAGGTTAGGAAGGGAAGATGCGGGCAAATACCATCAACATCGGTCCCCAGACCCCTCCCGAAATCCATCTGGTGCACTTTTCGGCGCTCCAGATCCGCCGCTTCTGATGGTCCCAGGGCCCGAAAACGGCTCCCATATTGAAAACGGCAAAAGCCTGCTCGAATCCAGCACTTCGAACCTCCCCCCCTCCCTCCTGCTGGCTGGGACCAGTGCTGGGCCACCCCAGACCTCCAGCCGACTCCAACTCGGTACTGCAAGTTCCCGTCGTACTGACCCCAGCGTTGGTCTCTGACGCCACGTGGATCGTTCAAACTTGAACGATCCGCTTCCCAAGCCTTGGACGATTCAGGATCGACCAATTCTGGGCCGCCAGCGCCGTCCCACGTGGAACGCCTGCGCTGGGGTCGCCGCCGGTCAACACGACTCGAGCCTTCTGTACCTCGCACGTACGCACGTAGCATCGGAATGAGTTCATCAGTCAAACACATCTCGGCCTGCTGCAGCAACTGCGCCCTTGCGGCACGTGCACACGAAGAAAGATCCAGAGGCAACGAGCGTGCATGACTGCGGATGTTGTACATATATAATGCAATGGTGAGCCTCTGGCTCGCTAGGTCACACTATCGAACCTTCTGTACCTCCTCCTCCTCCTCCGACAATTTGTGCACTGTGCCGTGTTCTGCTCTTCCGGGGCTCCGTAGAAGCAGACGTCGCTGAGGGCCACGCCGTTGAGGTCGGTCGCGGTGCCAGGCGCCGCGGGCGGCACGAAGCGCCCATCCTCTGCGTGGCCCGAAACGTATCCCTATCTTTAAGTCGGGCCTGTCTATCTACATGGGGATTTTCGACGGCAAAAAATACCCCCAAAATAATCAAAAATAGTATGGTTTTTGTTTTGGGAATATTTTTTTGCCTTTTGGGGGTATTGTTGGGGTATTTTCAATTTTTCGTCGAAGATCCCCCTGTAGGGGAACAGGCCCGACTTAACCCTATCCCCATGACCAGCATCTCATGTTGGCTCGAGCTCGATAGCGCTTCCCAAAAGCGAGGCTGCTGAGCAGTGCGGGCGATGCCAGCTCGTGATCTGCCGCCAGCTCGTGCGTGATGCGTGATCTGTCGCCAGCTCGTGCTGCCGAGCGCATTGGAAGAAGGCATCATCATCACCACCACCATCAGCATCACCATCACCATTACCATCACCGTCATCACCAGCATCATCATCATCATCATCATCAGCATCATCATCAGCATCACCATCATCATCACCATCATCATCATCATCATCGTCATCATCATCATCATCATCATCGTCGTCGTCGTCATTATAATCATCGTCATCATCATTGTCCTCCTCCTCCTCATCATTATCATCACCATCACTATCACCACCATCATCGTAACCATCATCATAACTATCATTATCATCACTATCGACATCATCATCGTCATCGACTTCATCACCACCACCCTCACCATCATCACCACCATGATCAACATCCTCACCATCATCACCACCATCATCATCATCACCATCATCATCGTCGTCGTCGTCAGCATCACCAAAACCATCACCATCATCACCATAGTCATCATCAGCATCGTCATCATCACTATCATCACTATCATCCCCTTCACCATCGTCATCATCATTAGCATCATCATCATTACTATCACCATCACCACCATCACCATCATTATCATCATCATCACCATCACCATCATCACCATAGTCATCATCATCAGCATCGTCATCATCACTATCATCCCTATCATCTCCTTCACCATTGTCATTATCATTAGCGTCATCATCATCATCATCATCATCATCACCATCACCATCACCATCACCATCATCACCATGATCATCACCATCATCATCAGCATCATCATCATCACGATCAACATCATTATCATCATAATCACCATCACCACCACCATCACTGTCATCACCATCATCATCATCATAATCATCATCATCATCATCATCATCATCACCATCACGTGATCAACAACATCATATCATGGTGTCCTCGGCGGCAAACACAGGGGGAAGTGAGAGGGGGCGGGCCTTCTCAGAAGGCTCGGAAGGCCACGGGCCTTCTGACATGTTTCAAGCTTTCCCCAGATACACCGACAAATTACAAGCTTCCCCAGATACACCGACAAATACACAGATCTCGATCCGCTCCGCGGGGCGGGAGGCTCGGAAAAACTCGTGCCGTTGACGCTCGCGGACCGCACAGTGGATAGCGTGTCGCCCCGAAGCGTGGTGGGCCAGAACTGGCGGCACGACACGCTAAACCAAAGCTCCTCATTGTAAGGATCCCCTAGTTTCTGAAGGTGCATCCCTAAGATTGCCATCGCTCTGGGCTGGTCGATCTTATGGATGGGGCTGAGTTTGAGGCTGGTGGTAGAGGCCTCCTAAATGGGATCCGAGTAGATCGGCTTGGAAGATCACGCCGCATCGCAAATGCATCGGCGACGTCGGCGATGCATCGGCGACGTCGGCGTGGCGATGCATCGAGCCGTATCGGCGATGGATCGGCGACGCGGCGCGATCCTCCGACCCCATCTACTCGGACCCCATCTGGGAGGCCCAGAGGCTGGCAAATCCTCGCAAGCCGTAGTGGCCGGAGAAGCTTTTGGCTCCAGAGTGTCAGCGTCGTAGTCGTCGTCGTCGTCGTCGTCGTCGTCGTCGTCGTCGTCGTCGTCGTCACCCCCTTCAAGGTCGGCGGCACCGGCCGGCAGGCCTTCGCAATCGTCATCGCCCTGGGCTTGTCGAAGTTAGGGATAGGGATGAGTTCGAGGCTGGTGAGTCCTCCGACCCCGTCTACTCGGACCCCATCTGGGAGGCCTCCGATCCCATCTGCTCGGACCCCATCTACTCTGACCCCATCTGCTAACAAAGTGCCTACTCGCAGGCGCCAGAAACAAAGCGCATGCTTGCCTCGATGCGATGGATCGTGAGTCCTCCACGGCGGATCCAGGCCGTCTGCGAGTAGTGGAACGCGCTTGTTAAGACGAAGCTACGACGATGATAACATCGGGTGAGGACGAATCGAAAGTTTCTGAGCTCCCGCGGTTCTGGAGGATGCATCGGGCGCCGCGGCCGTCTCCTGAGAGCATCCCAGAACGCTCTGGAACGGATTCATCCTCGTCCTGGCCCCGTCCGAGTCTGCGAGCACAGTGTGGGCGCGGCCGCAAGGAACCCTCCAAAGAAGCCCAGCCCTGGAAACCCGCGCGTGAGGTGCACCTCAGGGAAAAACGCAGAGCACCCCGAGCGCGGCAGCTTCTCTGACGGCCGCGGGAAGCCACCGCGCAGCGCGCGGAGCGGAAAAACCCAAGGCACTCTGACGAAAAGTATATGGTTTCTTGATGCGCGCCCCCACTGCCGTGGAGAAGCCCCGCCGCTTTCTGACTTGGAATCATACATTGGGTCTCTGGCGGCCCTTCGGGACGATACCGGCACCCCCCGAACGCCCTCGGCGAGGCGCAGCCGCTGCAGCGCACCCCGAGGTTGGAACACCGGCGAGAAGCGACGAAGACGCCCGAAAACCTCGAACCTGGAGCCCGAAACTTCCTGAAAACCTCGCTTCCCCGACTCCCTGTGCAGTGGAGGCCGGTCCACGGGCAACCCAACCCAACCCTGAGACCCTAGGACGTCCACTGATTTCTGGTGTGGGAGCGTCGCGCTTCCCATAACAAAGCCACCAGAGCCCAAAAAACCCAGGGCACCCTGGAGGCAAGCATGGCGTTTCTTGGCATGGGCCCCCACTGTCTACTGGAACGCCCCCCGCTGGGTGGTGAGGAGCAACGATAGGGGGGGACTGGAATAGGGGGGGATGCAACGACCTGGAATCGGCGATACATCGTCGATGGATCGGCGAATCGATGGCCTCCGATAGCGAATCCGCACCTTCCCGGGCAGGTTGGGGCTATCGGGCCCCTGTCGGCGATCAGTGGGCGATTGGGGGTCGAAGCATCCCTCCCTGTGCCTATCCCCCCCTGTCGTTGCCCCGGACTTTTGCCCCGTCGAAAAAGCCTCCCGCAGGAGGCTGCCATGCGAGCTCCTCGCGCGGTCCCCTTCCACCGAGCGCTATGCCCATAGACACATCCGAGCGCACGGAGTGGCACCTCGGAATGTTGCTTTATCGTTGCCCCCTTATCGTTGCCCCTGAGGTGGGCTCGAGGCTGGCGGCGTCCTCGCAGGCCGTGGCGGCCGCGAGCGCCACCGCGCAGGCCAGAGCGCGCAGCGCCCCCGCGGGCGGCGCGCGGCCGCGGCGCGCAGCCGCGGGGCCCTGGCCGGAGGAGGCAAAATGTGCCGACGCCACGGCTCGTCCTGGAGATCGGGGCTCGCCCTCCTCCTCCTCCTCCTCCTCCTCCTCCTCCTCCTCCTCCTCCTCCTCCTCCTCCTCCCACCCTCCTCCTCCTCCTTCCTCCTCCTCCTCCTTCCTCCTCCCTCCTTCTCCTCCTCCTCCTCCTCATTTTCCTCCTCGTTTTCCTCCTCCTTCTCCTCCTCGTCCTCCTCCTCCTCCTCCTCCTCTCCTCCTCCTCCTCCTCCCTCTTCCTCCTCCCCCCTCCTCCTCCTCCCCCTTCTC